CCCCAAAACCCCAAAACCCCAAAACCCCGCTTGGTAAAATTTATATATAATAAGATGGATTATAAGATTAATAAATAACATAAGTGTCTTTCATTGATTCCAAATCAAAGTGATTACATAATATATGTGCATATAGATATTAATAGCTCTCCTAATATTTCAATGCTTTAGGACATGCTCTTACTTCCAGGTCTCGTATATTTTAAGAAATTCAGACTTCTACTGCTTAATTAGATTTTTAATCTTCTTTTTCCTTTAAGATTTTAACACTTTCACCCCTATTTAATTGTAATCGATGTCTTTTATCTCTGTCTGATTAAGCTTACTTTTTTTCTTTCTTTTTCTCACAACAGATTTTGATCTTTGCACATCAAGTACACTGCCTGAAGCCATGATTTTCCTCTTAGTGTCAGATTGTTCTATCATAGAGATGTCTAACTCTTTCTTTGCACTATTTATTAATGAAGGCAGTGTAATATTAGCTTAATCTGTCAACTTTCGATATGCAAACTTGTAATTCCTAGTAAATTAACTGGATGCTGGATTAGATTAAATGTTAAATGATTTATCGTACTAAGTTAATCTCTTTTGAGAGTAGTCTTAGAATGTTTCTTCGTTTATTTTTTTACCTACTTGACTTAGATCTATATTTTTATAATTATTCATAAATTTTTGAGTCTTCAAGCTTCTTATATTTGCAGTTGACTAGTTATTAGAATTTTATTCAGATTTCTCAATTTTATGATTGCTGCTGTTGATTTGATTATTACTCTAATAGCGATTTTTATCTAATTTTCTGGCATCATTTTTATAGTTATCCTCCTAGCTTTCCTAAATTGGTTAAGCGAATAAATTGTTATGTGATTTCAGCTATCTATCTATTTTATCGAGACTGTTAGCCCTTGATCTCTGAATAGTGAAATCCTTTGAAAATCTCCTACTTAGATTTACTGATGAATCATCATCTTTCATTGTAGTATCAAATTACGATTCTTTTCTGCGGGGATGGTATGATAATTGCTTGCTATTAATCTAAGAATTATCTTGTTACTTAGCCCGCTTTACCTTTCTTATCTAAAAGTAGTCATCATCTTCCTCGTCCTGAGTTTCTTTCCTTATTGACTCAACTAACTTTACCTGATGCTATCTTATTGTAGACCTGAACTTTTTAGAGATCTCAAGTTGATCTTGCATGTTACTTATGGTTTCATTCATTTACTTTTATTGCTCGATGCTTTGCTTTATTTTCTTTATAGATTTGTTGCTGTATAAATCCTTATACTTGTTAATAAACTCAACAGGATTTTCAAATTTCTTCTATCTCTCCACTTCAGCAGCATGCTTTGGTGCATGAGAATATGATGTCTCCTCTCTATGCAAATCTGATTCATTGTCTGGTACTCCATTCATCAACCTTTCTCTTATGCGCTCAGTTTATTTCCTGGTCCAATCGCCAATTATGTTTTTAATGTAATCCTTCCTCTTGATGTAAATGAATGGGAAATTAGTGTTGGTTTCATTAGGGTTAAGCCTTTAATTTACTAGAAGAGTGCTGTAATTTTGCTTGCTTGTGATCATCTTGCACATAGTTTCCCACTTATCATGAGTGTCATTGATATCGCTAAATTGATTTGATATTGAAGCTAGTAATTTGGTCTCATCATAGTTGTTATTAAAGAACTCTTCTAGATTGTAAGTACTTCTCATTTGAGATTTGCTTCTTGGCTCTGCTCCGTATCTGACTCTCAAGTCACTATAATACTCCTTTTGCAGTTTTGTTGCAATCAGTTTTCTGGGTGAAATATTTTTGAGCTTGTATTACGATGACATTATATAATTTAATTCTCAATAAAACTCTATAAAAATCAATCCCCTAACATGTTCTATATCTTAAAATATGCAACGTGGGGTTTTGGGGTTTTGGGGTTTTGGGG